ATCTTAGGGAATATTCCAGCAACCTGTTGGGCGGGCCACAGATTCTTAGGGCAGGTCCCTAGATAGTTTTGAGCCCTGGCAACCTGCTTGCAGTGAGAGGATACTATAACACAGTGACTGTTTGGGAGGTGAGAGCTCTCACTTGGGTGTCAAACTTCATGTATCTTTATGAGACAAATCATTTCTTCAGCTTTACAGTCAAATATGATCTAAAGGTGTTTCACCAGAGCCTTTGCACTGTCACTGGGGAGGAAATCTTAGACATAAGATAGTAATCATGGAACAATAGATGGCAGATTAACAGTCAAGGGCCAACATACATGACATAAACAAAAAGTACCATGGGATGTCATGATGATGAAAAAGAATGTAGGAAGCAACCAGTAAGTCAGGAAGGCTTCATGGAAAAGGTGGCCCTGGATTTTAGTGTTAAGTGAAGAGGAGGATTTGGACATTGTTTTAATCATTGTGCTAAGAACTAGTCACATGGTGAATGAATGATAAATATTTGTCTAACTCTTAATTCCGGACCTTCCCATGTTTGCTGAAACATTGAGACAGAGATGTTTAACTTCCATCTCTAACCAGTCTGAAAACTATGCTAAGCTTCTCCTCACTGCTGTAGGAAGAGCAGAATAAAAAGCCAAATAATCCCAAGAAAGGAAAACAAAGTTCTTAGAAGGTGATTAGGGAAGTGTTTGTGTCCTTGCTCTTTAGAATGTGAACCATACAAAGGAGAGACAGAACTTACAGGTGTTCTTTACAATCTGTGTTGTGCTTGAAAATATTTGGTAGAGTTGTTCCTCTAAAAGGTGCTAGGAAATGCCAAAGGCAACTCTGTAAATACCAAATACTAAAGAAGTTAAATATGCAAGGATGAGAAGGACTGCTTCCTTCTAGAGACAGACCTTAATTATTCAGGTCTGACAAGACACAAGTTAATTCATAGCAATAGTGGCATAATTCTGTTAACTATTAATTTCCAGGTTGACATCAATAACAAAATTCAGAGAAATCTTTTACAATGATCCAGTCATGCACCAGCAGATTGAATACCAGTGACCACATTGGTCACTCCAAAGTGTAAACATCCTTGAGCTTAAGTTGGTCAAACAGCCTGAAGAATTAATCGACTGGGTTTTAAGGAACTTTAAATTTCTCCTTATTTCTTCAGATAAGACTTTTTGTATATAATCAGATTTGATAATAAAATATATTGGGGCTATTTTATCATAAAGTTTCTCTCTTGCTTTTTCTTCCTTCTTCCCATTCTTTTCTTCATCTTTCCTTCTCTCTTTTTCTCCCCTTTTCCCTCCTTCCCTTCCTCCCCTTCTTCCTCCCCTTTTCCCTCCCTTCCTCCCTGCCTTCCTTTCTCCTTCTCTCCCTTCCTTTCAGGACACCTCCAAGAAGGCACAAATGATAAAAGATCATTAATTAGGATATAGGATATAACTAATCCACTGGCACTAAGACAAGTTTCATCTTAATAGAATTTTACCGGTTGGACCAAGTTGAAAGCAATCTTAAGATTCATAAATAACCATTTAATCTGATGAGTTGCCATGAGGTGACCACAAAAAGGGTGGATGAAAGAACTGTTTAAAGAAACACTATGTCAGTATGGCATCCTTTTTGCTGCTGGCACACAGAGCACATGTACCAGCCCAAAATAAAACAGTCAAGTATAAAACGCTCCAAAATAAGGGGCATGTTAAGAAGTAAAACTCTGCTTATAATTGTAACCAAAAACTATTCATTAAATTCCTATTCTGTAAGGGTTAATAATGAAGGGATAGGAAGACTGCAGAGCTGTCCTTCAAGTTTCTTGTAATACAACTGGATGAATAATGTATGAAGCCATCTTAACATGAGACTAGTTAATATACAACAGTTGAAATGCTAACTAGAATGAATAGTCCTCACAGAATTGAAAAAAACTAGGCAAGGATCACTCATTAAATGCCATCCTTGGGTAGGCACCACAAAGATGTAAGGCAGAAAAAGAAATTTATGTCAAGTGTTTATTAATCACCAATTTTGCTTTAGGGTACCAGGCATTATTAACATTGTCAACAACAGTGCACCCTGTTAGCCTCTGGGGAAACAAAAGCTTCCTATGCGTTTGGAGATAAATGCTTGGCTGTACTAGGTGTGTTCATTCATCTCATCCTTTTCTGCCTTCTCTCCTCTTAAAAGCTAGCAAAGGTTGATGGTTTCCCCTCTCTAGTTATTTCCTCTGGCATGGAAATCAAGAGTGAGAAGTTATAGTGTGGTGAAGGCCTGGGGAGGTGGGCGGGTGTGGGCTAGAAGGGGTCAATGGAGAAAAAAAGGGGACATCTGTAATATTTTCAACAATAAAGATAAATTTATAAAAAGAGTGTGAAGTTGTTTGAGCAGCTCAACCTGCTTCACACGGATGTCCTTTAGTGTGATTGTCTCCTGCTTTAACCCCTGGTGAGACTTGTCTGCAATCATTTTGAACCACTGTCACTTCCCTGTCAAACACTGCTATACTCTGAAGCTTGGGCTGAGAATCAGGGCAGTATCCAAGGGCAGCACATGGGAAGCATGGATCCTGAACTTCAGCTGGGATGTGTGTACTCTGCAGATAGCTAACGCAGCTCCTCTTTCATAGAAACAGAATTGCAAGCCAGCATTAGAAACCTGTACGCTTAGGAGCTAGGTTAGTTCAACATGTCAATCTGGTATGGGGACTGTCAGTAAGACCAGGACTGCAAGTATCAGAGAAGCCAAAATGCTGAGAGATTCAGATGTAACACCTACTATCTCCTCACCTATGACTCCGGTAGCAATTGCTTAAGGAAATTGGAGTCGTTAGCAGAATGGAAACACTCGTAGTTCAACTATTGAGAAAGAAATTGAGAATGTTAGAGTGGGCATTTTGGAGATTCTGTTATTTCCACCGAAACAAAGAAATGTCTGGGAGAGTGCAGATCTCTGTGAGCGGCACACACAGATATTTGAAGTTGGCAATAAAAAGTCAGGATGATAGATGAAATGAAGAGATAATTCTTGCCCAGAGACTTCTGGCTAAAGACTTCACCAACACCCAACTTAAATTATAATTACACTGAGCATGCATATCAATCATAATTCACTAAACAATTATTTTTATTGTTGCTTTTGCCACAATACACCGAGGTACACCGAGACGGTAGAGAGAGAGAGAGGGAGAGAGAAAGAGAGACATCAATGAGTTGCCTCCCAGACAACCTCTGACTGAAATGGAACCCGCAACTTTGAAAGTGTCCTGACTGGAAATGGAACCCGCTATCTTTTGGTGAACAAGATAGTGCTCCAACCAAGTGAGCCACATCAGCTAGGGCTCACTGAACGTTTTGTATGTGTCTATGGGATTGTTAACAGTTAGTAAATGGACATTCATTTGTTTCTTGTGAATTGGATTGATGGTAACCTTGCAGAGTCTAGTTATATGGTTTTACTTTCTCCTCAATTGTTTTTTTGTTTGTTTGTTTGGGGTTTTTTTTTGGTCACATAAAACCTTAAGTGAAAAACATCCTTTTAGAGTGCATCCAACCAACACTTGCTGTTTCTCTCTTAAAAAGAGCACTGACTGAGTTGACTAGACAAGCACACCCTTGACACGTTGACCGTGCTTGGTTATTGATACTCTATAAATGCCAGTTTAGCAAGATAAATGAGCAAGAAATACACATGTTATGGGAGATCAGAGAAGATGCAAATGCTATAGACACTGAAAGAGCAGTTAATTTCAAATTGGATGACCAAGAAATCTTCCAGAAGGGAGTGATGGCATTTGACCTCAGCCATGCAGGATAGGTAGCATCTGGACATGGAAAGATGGGAACATATGATTCCAGGGTGGGTGTGCTATTGCAGAACCAGAGGTGCAGAGTTGGAGTTGTGGAGTAAGCAAGGTCAGGGAATGACAGAATAATGGGAAATGGAGTGGAAAAGATGTAAGCCTGAAAAGAACGCTAAAGTATATAGATTTGAATATGTAAGCAATGAGGAGTCTGTGGAGGTTTCTAACCAGAAGAGGAACAAAATCAAAATCATGATCCAATAAAATTGATCTGGAGACAAAGTATGCTGTGTCTTAAAGTAGAAAAATACATCATAACTTCTCGAAATCAGGTAGCTCGAAATCAGGCTGATTTTCATACATGCATAATGTTGAAACATCACATTGCTTTTGCCATATTTTCCCATGTCCTAGTTAAAATTGAGTATACATGAGCAATGTCTGTGCGCATGTCTTTGCTCAAAATAAATCATCATTCATCTGAATTCCGAACCATACAGGTACAGCCACACGTCCATCCACACACACCTCTGCTGGGAAAAATGAAATGAAAACTAATATTTATTTAACATAAGTGCCTACCATGTATTTTTTTAGAAGATGGAGACAAAGACGAATAAATTTAGAATCAATCTGGAGAAAGACAAACAAATGTCATAATATGTGAAGAAAGCAAGTATAGTCATGTTAACAAAGTAAAACACACACGTAGCCAGTAAACAATAAATACGTCTTTGGGGGCAGTACATCAAGGACCTTTTAGTAATTAGCTGTCCTAAATTTTAATTCCTCATCTGGAATTAACAGAAGAATAGCGTCTGAAAAGTCCCACCAGTGAAAATAGACCACGGGTAAAAAATTAGCAAGGCTGGGAAGATATGTGTTTTCTCTTACTTTTATTCCTTCTTGGCTAATTTCACAGGTACACATGTTTACATTGTACTAATTATTTGCTGCAGGTTGATGCATTGTGGCTTTTCTTACAGGAACACTGAGGAGCAAGTGAAAGGTGGAGCCGGATTGATGACTGTGAAAGGGTGAGTGGAGGTTCCATGATCTAAACCAGTGGTTCTCAACCTTCTGGCCCTTTAAATACAGTTCCTCATGTTGTGACCCAACCATAAAATTATTTTCGTTGCTACTTCATAACTGTAATGTTGCTACTGTTATGAATCGTAATGTAAATATCTGATATGCAGGATGGTCTTAGGTGAACCCTGTGAAAGAGTCTTCGACCACCAAAGGAGTCGCGACCCACAGGTTAAGAACCGCTGATCTAAACGAAGCTATTACAGGACGAATCACTGGAGCTGAGTGTGTGTGGTTCTGTAAGTATTGATAGAAACAGAGGTGGCTGTAGTTAAAACGGTGAAACCTCTTATCACTAAAGTGTACTTTCAGCTTAAGGAAGCAAAGGACAAAAATTGCATGTAATACTCATTTCTTGCTTCCTTTCCATTTTGTTCCTTTGCTGGAACATAAAGTTCGAGGGAAGGTATCTGAAGTCAGGGGAGAGGTAGGATTCACGGGCAGCAGAGGCAAGAGTGGGGCAATAGACCCTGGAAATGTAGGTACACCGAGACGGTAGAAAACCTGCTTTCACAAGAACACTCCTCCAGGGGCTCGTATTGTGAAAAACTATGCCTAGAGTCACCCAAAACAACAAAAGCTGGTGCAATCTGTGGAAGCAAAAAGATGGGGTAATTTGAGGCTATTTTGAAATTAGTTAATTAAGGAATCCAGCAAACTCATTCTGCTTCTAGTTACTAAATGAATAAAAGACAGCACTCCAGCCCACCGTCATGCGTGAGAGCCTCAAAAATGTCTATTGGGAGGACCTTTACTCACATCGTTTTGTATTACCACCAACGCAATATTTACTTTCCCAGCTTTCTTTTATATTTGCTGGCTCGTAGGGTTTTTCTCAGCAAAAACAGTTTTGTTGTGCTTGCTTTTATTACAGAGCTATCTATCCAGGTCATGTCTTCAAAGCTGAATAAAAATCTGTGAGTCAGTTAGGCTGTAGCACAATTTATATTGCCAAAGTACAAAAATTTGCAAATCATGGAAGAGAATCTCTGTTGAATTAGTGCCACCGAATAAATCACTAATGTGATGATGCAGGAACTATATGGTCAGAATATACTTAGACTTGTCTAGTATTTTTTAAAACACCTGGGGAATGACCTAATTATAACATTGTGCAAAATGATACTTTTTTTGCTGGAATTTTATTTACTAACTTTGATTCCTTTAAACTGGCAGACATTGGATATTTTTAAACATCTTCTCTTGGGTTGTGGCTGATTCACAGCCATAGGTAATGTATAAGCACTCTGTATTGTTATAAAAATTTCTTATAAATAGTTAACTTATTACCCTTTTAATCTCACAATTTGTATCGCAAATATAAATACTGGAGAAATTTAGCCAATAAGCATAAACATTCTAACTTAGCTTTCTTTTACCGTATACCACTTACTTTTTAAAATAAATTTTATTTTTCAATTACAGCTTACATTCAATATTATTCTGTAATAGGTTTAGGTGTAAAGTATATTGTTTAGACAATCATATACTTTACAAAGGATTCCTCCTAATATTTCCAGTACCTATCTGACACCATACAGAGTTATTACTATGCTATTGACTATATTCCCTGTGCTGTACTTTACATCCCCATGAATATTTTGTAACTACCAATTTGTATTTCTTAATCCCTTCACCTTTTTCACCCAGTCCCTCAATCTCCTCCCCTCAGGCAACCATCAGTCTGTTTTCTGTGTCTATGAGTGTTTCAGTTTTGTTTACTTTGTTCTTTATATTTCATTTATAATGTACCACTTACTTTGAAGGTATAATCTATGCTATATTTTAAAGTTAAAATGCTCAAATATATTATTAATTGAATACTGCTGTCATCTTGAATAAGCCTTTAGTCTGAGGCTTGAAGAGCACCATTCTAAACAAGAATCCTCATGTTAGTGGTATTAGTGTAAGCAGCAAAGATGTTCTTCCTTTTCTCTCTCTCTCTTTTTTTTTTTTTTAGTATTAACACTCATAGCTGTAGTACCTTCAGAAGACCAAATTTCTCAGGGGAGAAGACATAACAGAGAGAGGAAAACAAGACAAAACAAAACAAAAACAACAGAAATCTGTATAGAGTTAATTTCACTTTATAATTCTCTATTCAGATTGCACAGCATACATTCCAAGGGGTACAACTGTAAGAGGAGCTGCTGATGTTTTCCAGAGGGGAGATGTTAGGCAGCTCCTTATTTCCTTTGACATACTCTTCAAGGAGGCTGCCATGGACAATGAGAGTCCTTAGATGCAATGACTCCATCAGAGCTGTCTAACTCAATGGGAGAAGGATAGAAAGGAAATTAAAGAAAAGAAAGGAAGAGAAGAAAGAAGAGGAGAGGTTTGAAGAAAAGAAACTTGGGGGGAGAAAGAAAAAATTTTGGTTCTGCTACTTGAAATATATAAACCGAAGCATTTCTGTGGCAGCAGCTTCAAGTCTCTTCAGCAACACCCTCTGCCCCCCAGCCCACAGATGCTGGGTCAGGAATCTGAGAACACATGACTTGCTAAGAAATTGTTTCTCTCTTTCTTAAGAAATTTTAAGTCTCTGTCAGCTGGGTAGATTAAGAATGCTGGCACTCATGTACACAGAGAAATCCAGCTAGGAATCCCACTTGACAAGCATGGCTCAGCAAATTTTATGAAATATGAGAACTCTATGGCATAGGAATATCGGAGATAAAGCCACGATAGATTATCTGACAGTCTTGATTCCAGAGCAATATGTACTTGGTCAATATTTTCAGGAATCAAACTTGAGAAGTACCTTACTTCACATTCATTGCTGAGCTCCCCTGCCAACTTGATATCCCTAAATTCATGAAGCATAAATTCTGACCCAGGCAGGCCCTAGTAAATTTACTCTAGTTTGGAACTGTCCTAATTGTCTGCTGGATTGTAGATGGGCAAGCGATATAGAGTCTTGGCTTGAGCTCCTTCCATGGCAAAATCCTTGATGGAACCAGAATTCTGTAGAAAGTTAATAGATGTCTTGTAAGTAGAAGGTATGTGTTCAAATTATGTTGGAATTACTTGGGTCAATCAATGACAAGCAAGTTTCTCTAGTATGGGGCATCTCAGAAGCTTTCACGGGCATTACTATTTTCTCAGAAGGGGATAGCGAATGGAGTTTTTTGGTTTTGCTTTTGCTTTTGTTCTTTAAACCTCACCCCAGGATATGTTTTCATTGATTTTTAGAGAGTAAAGAAGGGGGAAAGAGTGAAACATCAATGTGAGAGAGAAACATCAGTTGGCTGTCTCCCATATGTGCCCTTACCAGGGATTGAACCTGCAACCTACGGATGTGCCCTGACCAAGAATCAAACCCATAACTTTTTGGTGTATGGGGACAATGATCCAACTACCTGAGCCACCCAGCCAGGGCAGAGAATGGAGTATTTTTTAAAGAGAATTTTTCTCTCATGGGGCATCACGGTTCCCACACAATATTAACTGTGGAGCACCATTTCTGGTGGCTCCATGATAGTGTTGCTCTTTTTATACCTCCCCATGGAAATCTGTGAGAAACTCACAAATCTTGTGAATATTCTAGAATAGTATTCTCTGGTAGAATTTTCTGCCATGATGGAAACATTCTGTATTGTCCAATGTGAGAGTCATAGCCTCATGTAGTTATGGAACACTTGACTGTGGTTAGTGTGGCTAAGGAACTGAATTTATTTACTTTGAATTAATTTGAATTTAAAGAGCTGCATGTGGCTGGTGGCTATGGTATTGGACAGCACAGGTCCAGAATACAATACACGTTAGCCAGAGGGGTATTAGCAGAATATGTTTGTCCACGGATTTCTGAGCCTTGCAGTGACATGTGGAGTTTAGAAGTAGACTTGTGAGTTGACAAGGGCTTGAAAATTTAAACTTTTTTTTTAAAGATAGGGTTATTTTTCCATCCAATGTTGCTCTAAATTGTTTTTTTGTGTTTTTTTTAATGGCAAACACTAGTCTGGACATTTTGTTCCTGCCTGCTTTCCCCCCCATATTGTTCAGATCCTTAGATTCACAAATTAAAGGGAGTCACATGGACACAGAAACTTCTCCATGCAAATCCTGAGCCAGGGACAGCCAGCATCTACCTTGTCTTTTACTACAAAGGACTTCACCGAGACAAGCCTGGCTGTGTGGCTGGGCTCAGCAGCATTCTCCGCATTCCTTGCCCGTACATCAGATGCGGTGGTTCCAACACTGATTGCAGCATTCTCCTGTCCCCGGGGCTGTGTACCACTTGGCCCACCACCTTTTCCTGTTAGAGCCAGGATCACACTGCTTCTGCCGGTTGGCACCAGATGAAACTGTTGCTTGCAATCCAATGAAAGGAAAACTTGAACACTTCAGAGAACCTTTCCCAGTAAAGAGGACAACACTTCTGTTCCATTTATAAGGGGGACCGTAGTGGGTAGGGGCGGTGCGACACTTTGGATCCAAAACCTGTAAATGCGGAAGGTGTGAGGAAGATGACTTTCAAGGAGAGTATTTTCCCACCTCAGCGCAGGCTGTGGTCAGACAGCTTAGAAGCTTCACAACTGTTCTTTCTCTTGTTGGCTGATTGGGTTCCAGGACATTGCAAAAGATTTATTTACAATCACCAAAAGAGCCAGAATAACCTCACCTTCATCTAGGAAATAATAGCTGGTCTGTGCTATTTCGTTCAACAACAGTGATTCATTATGTCGCGCTAGGCCGTCCCTGATACTTGTAACTGTCAGGTAGATTTCCTATGGCTTGTTCTCACACAATAGACCCATTTTGTCCAATTAAACCTAGAGATATATAATTATCTGTGTGTGTAGATATGAGTGCACTGGCTTGCACGTACGTAAGGATACGAATGTATTTATTAACACGTGCTCCTACAATGATGTCATTCTAAAATGTTTCTTGTAGCCACAGAAGGGTGTTCACCTGAGGATCCATCCCCTTGGTTGTCTATACCTGACTGAGAGAGCTCAAAGGCAGGGATGGCTTCTAGTTGAAACGTACAAAATTATTCCTCTTCAGGGAACAGAGGTGAGTTGTCTTACTTTGTGGCCAGGGGACAAAGAGACATCTGGGGTTTCTAAATCTCTGCTATCCAGGTTAACCAAAGGAATTATTTTGCATACAACCCTTGGTGTGGAGGCGTTAAGAAAAAGACATAGAGTGTTGTCATGTTCAGTTGTGAGAATCTGTCCCATGCTCTTTCTTCTCTGTATGGCTCTTTTTTACCCTCTGGATTCAGATATTTATCCTGTGAAATGTGCTCAGAGCTCTGTAGGTTTCTCTCAAGTAATCACAGGGGTAAGGACTTGGTATTTTTAGTCAAGCTTTATTTTAAAATACATTTCATTTAACCTATGAATAATAAAGTAGATTGCATCTTGATTTCTCAACTGTCTTTTGAGCTAAAATAGGAAAAGTAATATTATATAAGAACAACGTAAGGTGCTGATTTCCTGACTCTAATCTGTCAAGAAATTTGCTTCCAAATTCAAGATAAGAAAATTATTTTTTAAAGCAAAACAAGCAATCTGAATTTAAGCAAAAACATATCAGAAAATTTCAAATCACTTTTAAATCACTTGCCTTATACTAATTTGATTCAAATTTTATATGGTACTCAAGGCTGACAACCAAATTTCTAATGACCTATATTCTCAATGGTGTTTAAAAACTCTTGAAACCATTCAGCAAATGAGGAATTTAACTGGTAAAGATATTTTGTGGTCTGAATGACATTATGTTACTAGTGATTTTTCTAAAATAATTACCTAAATGAGGTCAGGTATAAATTAAAAGTCAGAGCCACTACAGATGTAACAATTAAACGTGACTGGATAATTTCTTTAATAAACTTGAAAGTCAATATTAGTCTAGACTTATATTTTCCAACAAAAATAATATTCTTCTGTAAAAATAATATTCTTCTATTTTATTTCTACTGGATTATCATCTAATGGTTAAGCTACTATCAGTAAAAAAGGTATATATACTTGCTTTTTTGTATTTATTCATTGAATATTTGTTTAAAACAATTAACTAGAGCAGATGTAGTTGCTTAGAAGCATATATATTTTAAAAATACTTGGCCCTGGGTAGGTAGCTCAGTTGGTTAGAGCACTGTACCCATATGCCAAGGTTGCAGATTCTATCCCAGGTCAGGGCACATACAAGAAACAACCAATGAATGCATAAGTGCAACAATAAATCTCTCTCTCTCTCTCTCTCTCTCTCTCTCTCTCTCTCTCTCTCTCTCCCACCCTTCCCCCTTTTTCTCTCCCCCTACCTACCTCTCTTTCAAATCAATCAATAAACAGCTAACAAAATAGAACAAAACCCCTCAAGACTTAGCTTAATTGGCAACTCAGTGAGTCAGGAGTGTACTTCACAGCCAGACGAATTAATGCAATCCCATGTTGCATCAATGACAGAAGGAAAGTGCCCGAAATTCCCTGCATGGATTAGGACAGGCCTGGAACATGGAGTTTCTGTGCGGGTGGCACATTTTCAGAAGGATGCTGACAAACCGAATCTACTCAAAGGGAATATCTGGAATGCTGAGTGACATGAAAACAAGACATGCAGATTTGAGTTTAATAACACAGAGGAAAAATAAATCAGAGTTGGGGATTTGTCTTTGTCTGATTGGGAAAATGTCTCCCAATATTTTAAAGATTTACATATATCAAAGTGTTCTTATAGAAGGTAGAATTAGCATCAAAGATGATAAGGCCTAGGGAGTCACATTTCCTCTGGTCATAAGAACTTTCTAACAACACATGGAACAAGGTAAAATGAATTGCTTTTTTCTTGGAGGAATTCTAGGAGAAACTGCAGATGAATCTCCTCTGAAATACAATTATAAAATTTTGTAAAAAGAAATGAGCCCTTACATGGGACAAACAATTGGTTTGGCTGTCTGGAGCATCTCTCTTATTTACACTCTTTGAAATACCTGTTGAGCATCTATTGTATACTCCATCCCCTTGTTCCATTGTTTTCATTTTGTTTTATTTTTTAAATATATTTTTATTGAGTTCAGAGAGGAAGGGAGAGGGAGAGGGAGATAGAAACATCAATGATGAGAGAGAATCACTGATCAGCTGCCTCCTGCATGCCCCCCAGCCAGGACTGAGCACACAACCTGGGCATGTACCCTTACTATGAATGGAACTGTGACCTCCTGGTTCGTGGGTCAATGCTCAAACAGTGGCTGTCCCACTGTTTTTAGGTATTTTAGCCAATGGTTCAAATGGGTGAGAAAATATGTTTGTAAGTAGTTCCTTTGACTGACATTTTGAACTCATAGTATGCTAAGACCTCTGAAAGTTCATTGACAAAAACCAAAGATGTGTTATCACTACTTAAGCAAACAGAGAAATCATGCGGGAAACAATCCATTTCCTTCATTCCAAAGCTCATTGTACAGAGAAATACATCAATGAGAGGAAAGAAGAGAGGCACTGGGAACATCTGCATTGGTCACTTTGACTTCAAATGAGTGGCAGGGAATTATCAATGTTCTGGGGATTTACAGGTAGTTTGAAAAATGTATATCAATTTGCTAGGAGCATGGTAGGCTATACTGACTGTGGTTCCACAATAGTTTTCAATATGTGGGTTCAGAAGCAGCCCAGAGAAGGGAGTTGCCATATTTTAGCAGACTTTGAGGCCCTGGGCCCTGTACTATTCCCTCCTTTCATCATCATTCATGCTTGCTGCAGCAGGAATATCAAATGGCTTCCTGTCTGAGTCAGGCCTTTGCTAGGTTTAAGGCTGCTTTGTGTCAGGAGCTATGAGTCCTCACCCATTTTCTTGACTGGGCACCTAACTTTCATTCATTGCTTTTTTAAACATGTTTTTTAGTGATTCCAAAGAGGAAGGGAGAGGGAGAGAAGTAGAGAAAGATCAATGATGAGAGAGGATCATTGATTGGCTGCCTCCTGCATGCCCCACACCAGGGATCGAGCCCGCAACCTAGGCATGTGCCCTTGACTGGGAATCGAACACGGGACCTTTCGGTCTGTAGGCTGATACTCTATCCACTGAGCCAAACCAGCTATGGCGTCCATTCACTTTTTAAAATAGCATAACTGATGTATAACTGAGGTATAACTCATATACAAAAGCCTGCATATATTTAATGTATACAATTTAATGGGTGATTTTGATGCCATACCATCTCTGCCTAGAGGGGCACTTTTTCATTCTCTGCTGTCTTTCAGCCTTGGGATCTTGTGTTTTCCTAGACTTGGGCAGGTTAACTTATAACTTTGACTTTCTGAACTTCTTTCTCCCCAGTAGCAGTCTTAGCCTTAGTTCTCGCCATCTTTCGCTGCATCCTACTTTCTCTTATTCACTGCTGTTCTAGGCCTGGGTATAGCTCTTCTTAGGCATGATCAGATGTTGTAAGTTCTAACTTACAGGTTTTAAGAGAACAGAATCTCACTCAAAATGCATTGTCATCTTCTAGTACCTGGAAGAGTTAAGGCTTATCTCTAAGGACAAATTACAATGAAAGTGTGCATCAGGGTTTCAGGAAAATATGCACTTATTCCTTCAACAAGCTGTGTTAATTACTAAGACTAGGATAGGAGAGCTCCCTGCTCTTAGGAAACATCTCATATTAAGCTCATTATAGTATAAAAGTGCTTCATTTCTTTCCATCTAATTTACTAAGATTCTTATGCTACTATATTGCTGTACCTCCACTTTCACTACATTACCCCCATTACTCTTTTTTTTCCCATACAAACTAAAAATACTGTCATACCTTCTCATGTTTTGAGGAATGCCTTGCCTCTGACCTTCCCAGTCACTTCTCAAAATTCATTTGAGTTTAAGAAAATCATCTTGAACTAGAATTTAAATATGGGGGTTTATGGGCGGTAAATCACACACAAAAAGCATTTGACAAAGCAATTTATCACCTAATTTTTAAAGACATATATTTCAAGTGAATTTAATTTGCATATTTTGACTCATTTCCATGCCATTATCATAAGCTCTTTTTAAAGAATTGCTACATTTTCACATTTTCAAAGGACACATTTATGTCATCTATGACTTCCTAACCTTTGCTTTCTGGAATTTGACTATCAGAAATTCTTCCTTTGTCTGACTTCAATGCCTGTTAGCTGAGATGCAGTACTCAGCCATCTTCTGAAACTGCAGGGAAGGGGAAAAAGTCAAATCCAGTTGGGTTTCTCATTTGTATGAAGAGCCACACCATTGCCTTTGACCTTTGCTCAGAGGGTTTTCATTGAAATTCTTCCATCATTTCAGCACTGTCTCTGAGTATGTCACATTGATCGCATTGTGAAAATAGGAGCTGGCCTAGATGCCTGGTTAATTTGGATATAATAAATGGGTCTCTGTCCAGTGGCAACATTAGGGTGCTCCTCCTGTATCGTTTTATAACGTAACTATGGGCTCATCACAACATCACGCTCTTACGCATGAACGCTGTTGCTGACTTGTGTTTTGCAAGTGGCCTGTTAAAATCCGTGCCCTATTGCATGTTACATAAACAATGTCCATATTAAAATATTTAAGTATCATGAGCTATGCTTAATTCCAAGATGGCATTTTAAAATACAGCGGGGCCTTGACTTACGAGTGTCCCGACTAACGAGTTTTCTGAGATACGAGCCGTCTCTCAGCCGATTCTTTGCTTTGAGTTGCCAGCTAAAATTCGGGTTACGAGCCAGCTTCAGATACCCCACCGCTAGTTGGCGCAGCGAACGTCACAGTGAACGCCAACAACATCAGCCCAGCATCACGTGTCTCACTCGTTCACTTTAAGATTTGATATACGAGTAATCTGAGTTACGAGCTCCATCACGGAACGAATTAAACTCGTAAGTCAAGGCCCCACTGTAACTGAACTGAGTTTTAAGGAAGGATGCCATGTTGTGTTGATGTTTGGATCGCCAGAGCAATTGATGATCCAGTTATCACAGTGCCTGGCACAGAGAAGGTATTTAGATTTTTTACCCAAGTCAATAGACAATTGATAGCGAGTGTTAACT